TACCATTAAGTATGATCCCTCTGTGAGTCAGAAGAACCTGCCAGTAAGAAATCTACTGTAACCAAGGGAAGAAAGAAACCTGCTTCAAAGCAACCTCTGTAACCTAGGGGAAGGAAGAAACCTGTTTCAATTTCCCCGCCAGACACCCATCTAACTTTGGGGAAGAAAAAATAAACGACTTTCCTGGTGGTACCCATTTTGTGTAACTTGGGCATCTGAAACCCAAGCTCCACCAAACTTGGAGGAAAGTCATGGGAAGCTTCTCTGTGAGTCTGGTGTGTCTAGGTTTTGGGGGGGCACTTTCTTTGTGGGGACTCGTTGTGGGTATATAACTTGGAAGTCCCAAACTAGAGATGGGATATTCATATATTTTATATTAATTTATTTTATGTTGTAAGCTGCCCCGAGTAGACGTGGTCTAGAGGGGCAGGGTATAAATTTAATAAAAAAATAAATAAAATAAATAAATATTCATATCCCTGGGGGTACAAATATGAATATCAGCATTACAGGTGCCTGGAGAAACCAGACCCTCCCCCCAGAACAGCTTACTGCTCATCACACAGTGCAAGTGGTCACTGTCATTCAAGTCATGCCTATCATGGAGATATCCCATCTGGTGCTTCCCCACACAGCTGACCACGCAGCAGTTGAGGGGGGAGACTCATCATCCTGCCTCATCTCCGGAGTGGTTGGCTATGTGGGGAGGCGGGGAAACAATATCTGGTCTACTTCTACAATTCGTGCACAGCAAATAACAACAGCTGTGTGTGCCCTGCAGTGAGTGGTAAGTGACCTGGCCACTTCTGGGGGAAGGTTCTGGTTTCCCTAGGCACCTGTGGTACCGATATTTGTATTCGTATCCCCAGAAATACAAATATCCCATCTCCATCCAAAATCCAAACTTCACTAAACTTGCAGGGCTTGTAGAGTAGGAACAGGGGAAACTTCTCTGTAATTCTGGTGTTTCTAAGTGCCAGAGAGGGGTGTTATAGGGTTTTTAAGGCAAGATGAAACGACAAATCAATTCACTGGAAAAATTGTAAATTCATGATTTGTTAACCTTGACAAATTATGAATTGTATCAAATCACCAGTTTTCTAATTCATGCCCATCTCTAATCCAAATCTATGCCAAAATCTCATCGTTCGTATGATGTATACATGGATTACAACAGACCTAAATATGCTGGTAATGCCAATGGGAAAGGTAGATAAAATGTAGCTAGACTAAATTTTGTTGTTGTTACAATAGCACCTATCAAGGGGTGGGATGTACAGTGGTGCCCCGCTTGACAATGATAATCTGTTCCAGTAAAATCGCTGTAGAGCGAAATCGTCATCAAGCAAAATAAAAAACCCATTGAAATGCATTGAAAACCGCTCAATGCGTTCCAATGGGGAAAATACCTCACCTTCAGCGAAGATCCTCCATAGGGCGGCCATTTTCCGATGCTTGTAAAGCAAAGACTCTGTCCTGAACACAGCGGGGAGCCATTTTGAAACCCCGACGACCAGCTGTTTTTGATCGTCGTTAAGCAAAAAATCGGTTCCCGAAGCAGGGAACCGATCATTGTAAAGCGGAAAAACCCCTTTGAATCATCGTTTTGCGATTGCAATAGCGATTGCAAAATACTCATCATCAAACGATTTCATCGTATAACGAGGTAATCGTCAAGCGGGGCACCACTGTATTAGGCAGCAAGTGAACAGGCAGTTCTTGAATTTAATGTGTTGGAAGCAGGAAATATGGGCATATAAAAAGATCTAAGAGCCGAATAGTGATGGTTAGATCAGAACATCTCCAAAATAGCATATCTTGTGCAGTGTTCCTGGTATGGAGTGGTTAGTACCTATCAAAAGTGGTGCAAGAAATCAAAGTCGTGGGTGCCCGAGGCTCACTGATGCACGTGAGGAGCAAAGGCTTGCCTGTCTGGTCCAATCACAAAGAGTTATTGTACCTCGAACTGCTGAAAAATGTAATGCTGGCCACAATAGACAAGTATCAGAATACAGTGCATCACAGTTTCCTGTGTATGGGACAGTGTAGCCACAGGTCAGTCAGAGTGCCCATGTTGACTACTGTACATCACTGAAAGCACCTACAACGGGGACATGAGCATCAGAACTGGACCACGGAGCAATGGAAGAAGATTAGTTTGATGAATTACATTTTCTTTTAGATCAGGGGGATGGCTGGGGTGAGTGTGCTAATTACATGAGGAAGAGATGACAGCAGGATGCACTATCCGTGATTTGGGCCGGACTGGTGAAGAGATGACAGCAGGATGCACTATGGGAAGAAGACATGCTGGTGGAGGCAGTGTAATGCTCTGGGCAGTGCTCTGCTAGGAAACCTTGGGTCCTGGCATTCATGTGGATGTTGCTTTGACACGTACCACCTACCTAGAGATTGTTGCAGACCACATATACCCCTTCATAGCAATAGTATTCCCTGATGGCAATGGTCTCCTCAAGCAAAACAATGCACCCACCACACTGTGAAAGTAGTTCAGGAATGGTTTAAGACAGGGGTCCGCAACCCCCGGTCCGTGGCCCGGTGCTGATCCGTGATTTGGGCCGGACTGGGCCGTGGAGACAGATCTCCCACCCACCCCACACACACCCCCCCCTCCACAGCTCCTTCATGCATGTGCGTGAATGCCCCCACCTGCCCCTCTGCCCTTCATGCATGTGCGCAAGAATCCGTGCGAGTGCCCCCCACTCCTTTGTGCATGCGTGTGAGCATGGGGGTGCCCTGCCTTCCCCAACCAGTCTGTGGTGTTAAAAAGGTTGGGGACTCCTGGTTTAAGGAACAGGACCAAGAATTCAAGGTGTTGCCTTGGCCTCCAAATTCCCCAGATCTCAATCCAACTGAGCATCTATGTGATGTGCTAGAACAGGAGTGTCAAACTACAGTCAGTGGGCCACATCCAGCCCCCCTTGCCTTTCTATCCAGCCCAGCCGGCAGATAAAAAGGCAAGAAATCGTATACGAATACCCCCATCTCTAGTCATGATGAAACACACCAAAGGCCCATCTAGTTAAGCATTTTGCTCACAAACTAAACACAGCGGTGCCCCACTTGACGACGATAATGCGTTCCATTAAAATTGCTGTTAAGCGAAATCGTCAAGCAAAAACCTGAAAACAAAACCCCACTGAAATACACTGAAAACCAGTCAACATGTTCCAATGGGGGAAATACCTGCCCGTCCAGCGAACATCCTCTGTAGGGGGTAGCTTCGCTGTCTTCCAGAAATAGGTCCGGAAAACAGCAGGGAGCCATTTTGAAAACCCGACGATCAGCTGTTTTTAATCATCGTAATGTGGAAAACCGGTTCCCAAAGCAGGGAACCGATCATTGTAAAACGAAAAACCCCATTGAATCATCGTTTTGCGGTCACTATAGCAATCGCAAAAACCTAATCATCAAGCGATTTCATCATCAAATGGGGTAATTGTCAAGCGGGGCACCACTGTACTTGTCAGTGGAAAGCCAATCGGCTAGGCATAAATGGAACAGCATCCTCCTGCTTATGTTCCACAGCAACCAAGAGATAGAGGAATAATGCCTGTAAAAGTCACCGATAGTCTCATCCTCCATAAATATATCCCATTTCTTTTTAAAGCTGACCAAGTAAGCAGCCATCATCACTTTTGATAACAAATTCGATTGTTTAATTAGGAGCTGTGTGAAAAGTACATCCTTGTACCTGTTCTGAATCTCCTACCATTCACCTTCAGGAGATGGTTCCAGATTAATTTTGCTGCCCTTCTCTACAATCACCCTCCTTGATTTACAACTAGACAGCGGTGGTGTAGTGACAGAGAAAAGATGCAATGTTCCTTTTAAAGACAGTCAATCTATTTCCAATTCTTGGTGTGTTACTTCAACACATACAGTTATTTTCCCTATAAACAAGGCATATATAGAACATACTGTTTTTCCAGCAGAATCTCACTTTCCTAGAACGGCACATTATAAACAACATGCATACTCTCTGCATATCTAGTTTCAGAGCTGCATTATTCAGTTTTGCCCACTTTTGCTTCATTGCCAAGATTTAGAAATGAAGCAGCTTGCTTTTAAAGAAATAGCACTAGTTTAACAGTCTTTTAACATTTTTCTTTTGACTTAGAGCAGAACTAAAACTATTCTATATCTTTCAGAGCCTGCACACTCTATCCAAACAAACAGAACTAAAAGTGCATTTTCCTTATCAAATTCACCACCCTCTGATACTTCAATTGTGTACATGTTCTGGTTAGTTTTTGGCATAATCTGAAAATAATGAAGAGGTGAAGCAAATACTGTCTCTTTCCAGCACAGAAGATAAATGTATACAAACAAGGCACTTAGAATTAATTTCAGAAAGTTTAAGTCAGAATTTCCCCACAGTCAGTAAAATCAAATACAAAACTAAGTCTTTGTAGTACCTAAGTGGCAGGTCATCCTGTGGTTCTAATTTCTGAGGGCGGGGGGGGGGCAGCGGGAGAAGAAATAGTAAGAAACATTTCCTTACAAAGTAAGGAAGTCAATAATTTCCTTTTTAAAAAAATGAAAAACCCTCTTCCAGTTTCACTGCAGTAGGAAAGTTCTGAGCACTTGTGAAAAAGCTAAAGGCACATGGGGAACAGGTTTTTTAACGGAAATTAATCTAATTAGATCTTTAAAAAGAAGAAATGGTCTGCAGATGATTTTTAAAAATCAATATTTTATGTGTGTTTTGTTTAGATGTTGTGTTAGACATCAGTTCTGGAAGACACTATAATAAACAAACTGATTCTAAAAGCTTCCGTTCAAAATAATTCTTAAAGTAATATACTGTAAAATGGAATTTGTCCTTAGTTTCTCTAAATTAGAACTAATCCATACAACTACAAGAGCTCCAGCATGCTTAAGGAATAGCAAAGGAAGTAAAAGAACAGAGAAAACACTATGACACTTCCTAAATAGTAAAATAAAACACCATTGCATTATTACTTCATGGTACTCACCATCTCTTTAGCTATTTCCACAGCTTCCTGAAGCCCATAGAGCCTGCCACAGACCAGGTAAATCCCATTGGCCCAGAGAATACAGCCCTCATGGACCCAAAATTCATTGCTGTCAAGAGGTAGTTCAGGAATTTGTAACTCCAACTCAGGAACACCTTCAGAACTGGGCATGGAGGATTTAGAGTCTGAAGGAACTTTTTCACCAGTGATGCCACCCTCAGTGGTTGCTTTTTTACAAACAGCACCTCTCGAAAGTGATCGAGAAGCGCCTGCGCAGTCCTCAGAACGATGGCGTCTCTTAAAGCGAGGATGGGCAGCAAGGCTTCTCTGCTCCTTTTGTTGCTGCTGTTGCTCTTCCTCCTCCTCTGTATCAGTCTTGGAACCATTTGAAGCACTTTTATGCCGTACCTTGACTTTATTCTGCATTTCTGTGGCCCTCTTAGGAGGGGGATTCTTGGGCAGCGTGGCAGCATAATCCTGGGGATAGAAAGGTCCAAACAGGTCACCCATGTTACGATAGCTGGCCCATTTGCCACACAGGCAGCAGACCAGGTGGCCCATGATAGAGGATTCTGTTACTACAGGACCCTGTAGCATGAAAGAGGAAGTAGGCAGTACTTTGCTCTCAGCGTTACTGGGAGGAGGTGTTGATGACCTCTGTCCTTTTCGGGTTCTCACCAGCTTATTCTGCTCCTCCTCCTCAGCATTAATTATTGTGCACACTGCACCTATCTCACACTTGTTTACCACATGTATATAAGGGAAAAAAGACTTATTCTTGGTATCAGTTTTATCAAGAGTCTGGGTAGCATATTTTAGTTTGATTTCTGGTTCTTGAGGCTCAACAATTGGAACCGCTCGCCTTGGTTTCCGCTTTCGTGGTTGTGTGGTAGTCTTCCTCCTCTCCCTTCTCTGTCTCTTAGGTTTAGGCTCTTCACCTACTGCCTCCTCTGATGACTGCAGTGCTTCTGCTACTGATGGAACTGGTGGTGTTGGCGGCGGCGGTGGCGGTGGCGGCAGTGGTAGCTGCTGCTGCTGCTTCTTCTGTTTGTTGACACTGCCAATGGGTCTTCCCTTCTTTTTACCAGAAGGAAAATATCCTTTTGGAGGAAAGGGTTCTGGTTTGGGTGTCATAATTGTATTGCCATCCTTTTCTTCACACTTTGAATTTGGTTCAGGAATCAGCACATTAGATGGGGAGACTGTTTTTGATTCAGAAAAGCTTAAAGGTCCTGTTCCACTTAATGATCCATCTGGTCTTCCCTGACCAACAGACTTTTGTGAAGAGGTTGAGATCATAGCAGGTACTGAGCCCTCCTTGCCAACATTAGCAAATTCAGATGTCTCTTTTTTCACTACTTCATCTCCTTGCCAGTCTTCAGACGTTATAGCCAAAGAGGTTTCACTGGCCAGTTCTTGATTCTCTTGATCTAACACAATTTCTTCCTTTATATTTTCTTCCATTCCATGACTGGCCACATTACCCCCCTCTGTTGGGCCACTCTTCAGGGATAAAATGTCATCAAGAGTGACTGTATCTCCACCAGCTTCAGCGCAGTTTGAGGAAGCACTCCTCCTAACACTGGGAGAAGTAATCTTCTGAACAATAGCTTCCAATTTTAATCCACGACCCTTGCGTGGAGGCAGAATTTTTGTTTTAGCTGGACTTGTGAGGGAAACAGCAGAACAGTTTCTATTATCAGGACTTGGAAGGTTCCTAGAAGATTCTCCTTTGGAAAATGATTTGCCAACATCTTGATTATGGGAAGAATGGGCATAAGAGTTGAGAGTTTTATCAGCTCCATCTTTTGATGAGGGCAGCATGCGTCCTTTGTCTTCACTGGCACTGTTCTTCATTTCTTGCAACTGCCTTTTGCTGGGAATAGGAGAAATGAAAGAACGGACTCTCCTTCTCATGATTAAAGGATTTTGAGGAGAATGATCTTCTTGGCCAGGGAGTCTTACAAGGGCACTACCAGATTTAAGTACATCTCCAGCATCATCACGCCTGTGTACATCACTGTCTTGAGAACCAAATCTCTTCTGACTGGTTGCTCCTAGAGAGCTGCTGTTCTTCCCAGAAGCCACCTGTCTAGAAAGATCCCAACCAGATTCCTGTTGCTGAATTTTTTGATTCATGTGCTTTATTTCAGCACACTTATTCTGCAGAGTGCTGTCGCTCCCCAACAAGCAACGGCTGGCTTCTTGGCTTCCAGCATCATGATAAGAACCAGAATGGAGATACATCATTCCATCTTTGTCATTTTTCAAGGGACTCCTTACTCTGTCCAAGAACTGCTGTTGCCTTGGGCTCTTCCTAGCCGTCTCCTGCCTGTGCTGAGCTGCAGCAATCACCCCCTGGGCAGAAGTGCTACTCCAATCTTTATATTCTTCCTGCTGTTGCTGATATAGCTGTCTTTTGTAGTGGTACTGGGAATTCAATCCCTGGTTAGGATCACCAAAACTGTGAGATCGAGCATTAGTGTGATATGCTGAAGACAAAGATGAGTTTTCAGAATTAGAGGGGAAAGGAGAATGCAGGGAGCCCCGATTGACCCTGTCAGAAAGCACCATGTGTGGATTCATATGGTGAAGATCAGACCCAGGACCTCTGCTTCTTCCTGGTGACATTTTCAGTTTGTCTGCCAGATCATGAAACTGAGATGGGGATTTACCTCTCATTGCCTCCCGAGCACCTCCTATTCTACCAGGTCCTCGCCTCTGCTGTGCTGATCGGTTATCCTGCTGCAGGATGTAGTCTGCAGAATCGAGTGCTGCAGCTCCAGGGCTAGCATTCCCTCTGTAAGACTCATGCTTAAAACTAGGAAGATGACAATGATCTCCTGATTTTTTATTGTTAATGCTGGCAGATGTCTTGGATTGTTCAAAATCCTCCTCCTTGATCTGTCCACTGTGAGATTTCAACTTTGCTTCCATTGCCACCAAACCACCAGGGAGAATGACTGACTGGCCTAAACCAGGAGTTAAACGATCACTCCTTCCACTCCTGCCATCCGGAACCATGTGCCCCAAAGAGTGTGTTCCAGGATCTCTAGCAATCTGCCTTAAAGGAGATATATCACAAATAACTGACCTTCTCTCAGAAAGTCCTCCTCCTTCATGAGCTGAAGACTGAGATTCTATCTCAAACTTTCGAGACATAGGATAATCAGCCAGATTTATTTGCTTCATCTCAGGTGCTGCACCACTTGACTTTCTATCCCAGTGACCCCAGTGTGGACTATCCAAAAGAGATCCTATGCTTTTATTTAAAAGACCCCTATTACTTAATTCATTGGCTTGGTTGATCAAGACATTAGGTCTCATAGTACTTTCTAGACCTGTAGTCATTCCATGATGATCTTGTGCATTTCTAGAATATCTTCTGTCAGGGTGATGATGATAGCCTTGCAAAACTTCCTGCAAGAGACTGGGAAACTTCTCGTTCCTGCCTTTCCGTTCACCATGCCCTGGAAAATCCCCTTTATCCTGACCTGAAGGATACTGAGGGAAGCTGCCAGCATTCCTCTGTGTACTAATCCCTACGTTATCTTTGTAGCTATACCTCAAACTACCAGGTGATTTTGAAGGTTCTGTTCTCCCTGAAAAATTAGAGCCAATGGCAGTATGACCAAGTTGGCCATTCCCATCTCCATTGTGGTTAGTGCTGCTATCCCCAACCTTGCTTCCTTTACTTCCTCCTTGTGACTCTTGTTGTGATCCCATAGGAACAGTCTCTTTCATTACACTAGTGGAAGGTGTTGCTTGTACTCCTGCAGACCCATCTTCTTGTTGGGGTTTATCCTGCCCGCTTGACTTTTCTACTCTTCCTGTCATAGCTTCTCGGGACACTATGACACCAACTGCCTTTTCATTTACCTTGGGTGGATTTTCCACAGCAACCAAGGCGTCCTTCTCACCAGGAGGAGAACTTGCTTCCTCCTCATCTGCAGGGCTAGTACTGAGTTTTGGGGGTTCATTCTGAGATGCTTGTGCTGGTGAAGAGTGAGATCTTTCTAAGTTACCCCCCTTGTAGGTGGTGTCAGAACTGGTGCTCTGACCGCTCAACTGTCTCACCCTCTCGCCTTGATCTTCTGAACTACTGGAGCAGCCACCATCAATGGACTCTGCCAAAGGTGACTTGAGTTGGTCTTCTGCCTGAGAGGAGCCTTCAGAATTGGTGCCGCTGTCAGCTTTTTTGGATGATGAAGACCTTTTGGAACTTTTCTTTTGAGGTGCCAAAGCATCTGAGAGTAACATGTGCTGGACTGTATTGGGAAGATTAGCCACTTGACTACTCAGAGCACTTAGACTGCTTAGTCCTGGATCTGTAAGCCTCTTTTCCTGCAATCCTTCAATCCCAAATCCCTTGAATCCTCCACTCTGAGCACTGGGGCTGGGCATCATAGATGGTGTTGGACTAAGCTGTGGCATCATCTGTAGGATGCGGTTTCTAGAGGTTACAGGCATGTTATTTTGTCCACACTGAAGATTCTCACCACCTGTCATGAGAGGAGATGGCGTGGAGCTGCAGCTTGGAGACTGAACCACAGAGGCAGCAGGTGAGGGGTTAGATATAGGACTAAAATTCTGATGGAACTGCATGGGTGATCTCACAGGGACTTCAGCTTGGTTGTACTGACCAACTTGACTCTGAAGAGATAGCTTGGTAGTGGGATTTGAGTACTGCATTACATGCTGTGAGGGAGTTGGCTGCTGTTGTGACTGTTGTGCTGGTCCCTGTCCCTGCTGACCTCCTTGTGGCAACTTTGACTGCTCAAAGTTCTTCATTGGCTGTGTCTGAAAGTTGTAATTTGATTGAGTCCCATAAGCCTGTGCACTTGAACCCACAGTATGTCCCTCATACTGTGAACCAGCATTCACACTGTAACTACCATCATAGTTCTGTCCAGACTGACCAAAACGCTGAGGAGACGAAAATGAAGAAGATGAAGAAGCAGGAGGCTGATAATGTTGGCTATATTGACCTACTCGTAACTGATAACCAGATGCAGATGAAGGCAGAGTTGAGGGGCGCTGCATTGGCTGCATATGAGGTGTGCTGGAGGCAGACTGGCTGGAAGCCTGTGGTAAAGGCTGATGAGACTGGTAGAGCTGCTGCCTCATTTGCTGCACCTGTTGCTGCTGTTGGCTAGAAGTCTGCTGTTGGTACTGGGCACTTCCAGGTGAGAAAGGACCGGTATAATCCTGTTGATAGTGACTCACACCACTAAGGGATGAGTGCTGTGTTGGAAACTGATTCACATGACCCTCGCTCCCATACTGACTCCCAAAGTTACTCCCTTGGGGTGGTCCATAGCTCTGCACTGGTCCAGAAGGCCTGCGCTGTGGGAGCTGCTGTGCTCCTGCTGTCACAGGATCCTTATTGGAGGCCATATAGTAGAATTCTCCTGCCTCCTTTCTAAAACCTTGATAGCTCTGATGTCCAGAATTTTCCCCAGCCATTGACGCAGAACTTCCTGTTGCTCCACGGCGCCCACTAGTGCTGCCACCTCCTCCAAAGCTCTGGAACATCTGAGCCTGCTGGCGGGTGCCAAATTCTTCTAGCCGAGATGCACCATGCACTTCCTGTGTGTAGTTCTGCTGGTTTCCGTGGTAACTGCTTTGCTCCCGAAAGGACTGCATGCTGTTCAGCTGCAGACTGACAGCTCAGCAGCCCACCTGTAACAGAAAAACAGACAAAAAAAAATGAATTTTCTAGTCATGTAACTATTGCCCTTTCCACCCTGGGAAAATGGGAACAAGAACTTATTTCTAGAAGAACTGCAGAAAGTCAACTTTCTTGTATTTCAAAAGTCTATGCAAGAAGATTTAATTAGCCACTGGTCCACATGTTCCAGCCAATTGTCACAATTAACCAAGTACAAATGATGTTTCTTCAAAACAGCAACGCTATACAGTAATGCCTACAGCAGCATCTGATTGAACTCTTCTTTTCTCCCTTATTCAAGAAATGAACTCAGACAAATAAGCTGCTATTTCTATACACCTATAAAAATAAAGGTAAGAGCATGAGTACCTTTGGTATTTCAATCAAATGGGTTCATATGTTAGTAGCTTCAGAACAGTGTGTCCCAACCTTCAGTATACCAGGTGTTCTTAAGACTGCAACTCTCAGAAACTTCAGCCAGCACAGCTGGTGGTGAAGGCTTCTGGGAACTGCAGTCCAAGAACATCTGGGGACCCAAGTCAAGGTTAAGAATCACTCTTCCAGACTGACCTCATGCAATATCTTTCAAAATGTTTCCATGTCATTTTATAAATGTTCAATTCTGGTTTCAGATTATGCCTGAATTCAAGGACTATGAATGCAATTTGGTTTCAATATTAATTCAATAGAAACTGAATATTTATTGTAAGCACCTGAAAGGCTAAGAAACCAGTGAACAAAATATTAAAAGACTAAAAACAGCAGAATCAATGCAGATTTGGTGAGACAACTCCTCTGTAAGTTTTATTGATTCAGTGAGCCTACTTTTGGCAATGGCATCATCAATATGTGATGTTATGCTTAAATTTAACATTTTATATCACCCCCTTTAAGGTTCTGAGGCATCCTAGGGATCTTTTTTGACCTTGGGAGCCTCAGGATGGGGAGAATTTAATATCAGAAAATTGACACCAGATTTCCAACAGCAGTTTTGATCCTACGAGTGGTTCTGAGGCTCCCTCAGGTCAAAAGGGATCCCAGGAGAACCTTGAAACCTCAAAGGAGATGACAGGGCACTTTAGATTAAATTAAATCAAATCAGAGGTTAATGATGTGGGCCAACAGCATCATCAGCATTTACACCCACATAGTTATCAACCGGATTTCAGCCTATACAGATAGATAAGTAAGACAGGTAAGATCTGATAAGATTTTTCCTTATATAAAATAGATGAATTTTATCTCTTAAAAATGTTAGGGCAGTCATGTTGAAGAATAACAGGTCAACATATGGTTGAGAAAATATACACACAGGTTAGAATAGGAAAAACAGCACAGCTGAAGAATGACATACCTACTATCAAGTTGTATTAATAATGCAATGCTGAGGAATATAACCTATTCAACAACCAATGAACTGTACCATTTATTACAAACAAAATGATTGTCAATGTGTAAAAATGTATACTTCCATTATAAAATTTTAAAATGAGGCCCTGTACACTTTTCAATATTGTTGTGAAGCCAATCTTTCTGAAAGATCCCTTACGAAGTGGCTGTATTGTTTGAAAAGCCTGCAACCACACAGGCAGGGCTGATAATATGGGCTTATGCTATAGAATTAGCACATCACTGACAACAGGTATCAATTCCGTGGGCAAAGAAAGGAGTGAGGAGGGGAACCTGAAGAAATGTTGCCATAGACATAATCCATGAACAGTCCTATGAAACAGTTCATGTTAAGAGGCCTGGAGAAAGCTTTAGAACAGGGGTGTCCAACCTTTCACCTTCCCTGGGCCACATTAGAAGATGAACATTTGGTTTGGGCTGCACATAAATTTGGTTTGGGTTGCATGGGGCGGGCAGCCTTAGCTGTCCTCCACAGCCCCGCTCCAAGCGCACTTACCGGCAGCTGCGATCTCAGACAGCAGAGGCTGCCAGCTTTGACTCCGGTGGCTTTATGGAGCTGGGAGGGGGTCCACCTATTGATGGGGACAGCGCAATGCAGTCACGAAGCACCCCTCTCCCCTCCCGCTTCTTCCTTCCTTCCCTCTCTCCCCCTACCGTTGTGACGTGCCCCAGCCGCATTCCAGCCACAAGCACCGGCAGTGTAACTTGAAACTTTGGAATTGCTTTAAAATAAAAAATTGCACTGGGCCGCATTATGAGCCGACCTGGGCCACAGGTTGGACAAGCCTGCTTTAGAAGTAGGTGGAGAACAGATGAGCAATATTTCTACCTCATGACTAAAGGCAGAAATGAAAGTTGGCCACTGATGTTAAAATGGGAAATAATTTCATATCTATATCTGATGCAGATGCTTTCAGTTCTAAATTTGATACCCACACTACAGTACAAAATACATTTCTACACATGCTTAAAGTTAAGAGGGACATATTCTGCTCTGTCATACAGTCAGAGCAACAGAGTAAAAGTTGTCATTTTCTCAATACGACTGCAATACTTCCCATTATCCAAGTTCTGGTCATTTCTCCCAAGTGCATTTTCTGTCACCATTATGAGCCGACCTGGTGCCTCGCTTAACTACGATAATCCGTTTCAGGAAAATTGCCGTTAAGCAAAAACATCGTAAAGCGAAAAAAAAACCCATTGAAACCCGTTCAATGAGTTCCAGTGGGGTAAAAACTCACTGTCCAGCAAAGATCCTCCATACGGCGGCCATTTTCGCTGCCTCTATAGTGAGAAATCTGTCCCCTAAACACAGCAGGGAGCCATTTTAAGCACCTGCTGGCCCTTTTGAAAGCGCGGATCAGCTGTTTAAAAAAAAAGTTTTGCGAAGAATCGGTTCCCGAAGCAGGGAACCGATTATCGCAAAGCAAAATTCCCCCATTTAGACCATCGTTTTGCAATCGCAATTGCGATCGCAAAAAGATCGTTGTTGTTAAGTGGATTCGTCATAATGCGGGGCAATCGTAAAGTGAGGCACCACTGTATACTGCCCCCCTCCCCATATGTCCAGAACAATTACAGCCAAATAGCAGCACTGACACTGAGCCCAGAAACAATAAGTAGATATATTAACATTAAATTCGTTGTAGTTAACAAGTAAAGCATAGAAGCGTGTTTTTAAAGGGCTTGGTTTCAGCTTGGTTTCAGCTGGTGCCCCGCATAGCGATGTTAATCCGTTCCAGGATTAACGTCACTATCCGGATTCGTCGCTATGCGGGGGGGACCCATAGGAATGTATTAAACTCTGTTTAATGCGTTCCTGTTGGGGAAAAACTCACCGCTAAGCGGGAATCCTCCATAGGGCCACCATTTTCACTGCCTCGGTAAGCTGCGGGCAGCCATTTTGTTGATCCGGCGCCCATTTTGGAACCGCCGATCAGCTGTTTTCTAAACATCGCAATGCAAAGATCGGTAAGCGAAACGCTTACCGATCATCGGAATGCGATGTTTTGCCACCTAAAATATCGCAATGCGATCGCATTAGCCATCTCAAAAAACGCGTCGCTATGCAGAATCATCGTTAAACGGTGCGCTCGTTAAGCAAGGCACCACTGTATAAGGAAAGATCTTATAATCCAGAGGCTAGCTGGTGCTCAACGGCCTCTAAGATTTCCCCTAGACTGTCAAGGCAAGATCAACAGCATAAATCAAATTCCAGGAGTATGGAGATGTTGGCTGATCATTTGCATAAATGTTAAAAAGTAATGGTGCCAGGATGCTACCCAGTGGGAGACAATTCCTTTGATTTCTCCAGAAACTGTGCTTCCCTTGAAATTAAAGAAAGATTCTTCGGTTTTGAAGTAGAATGGCAACCATTTATGGTAGTCCATGATCTTTAGTAGGAAGATAGTGTTTTTGAGTAATAATTGATGGTGGACAGTATTGTATACTTCTACAAGGTCGACAAATGTTGCTTCCAGTTATTTTATGTGTTTTAAACCATATTCTATACACTGGGTTAAATTTAATATTTGAGCTGTACAGCTCTTACCAGTCTCAAGCCTGCCTGTTCTGGAATTAGAAGAGGTTCAATTTTCGGGGCTAGACCATTTAATACTGTATCATTCATTCAAACAAAGAATGAACAGCCAATGGAAGACTTCTGGGATTATGTAGCCTAACATAAAGGAAAACAAAGAGGGGAACCACTAATTTATGAATGAATTATTTCCCGATCACTTTCAAATGTAATTCTTTAGCAGAACACTATAGCATGGTTTTGAAATTTACATTTAGAACAAAACCAGCAAATGGAGGAGTAAATTTGTTGGGATGATTTACATTGCTCCTTCCCTGAATCTCTCTGTTGACTGTTCTTGCCACAACAAGGGTATCAGAACAGCTACTTCAATGTCTACATTCTGCATTCACTTTTGATGAAGTAACAATCCCCCATTATATACAAATTCAGAGCTATCTATGTCTAATTAGATAACATATCAGTCTATCAACTAGTGCATTAAGCAAGTTTAACTAACTAGCATTAAATAAAACACAGGACAGTACATTTGTATAGAAGTGTGTAACTGGAGTAATCAAAGCCTGCAAGAAAAAGTGCTTGGTTTTTTGTTCCCTTCTTCAAAAGAAAAAAAAAAGGAAAGTACGGGGAGCATACCTCAGGTTCACAACTCCTTTTCTCAACAAATTTTCTCCACATGAGTTATACTACAACTTCTGTCATCACTAGCCAGAATGGATAATAGCCAGGATGGCTGGAAATGCGTATACTGTATATGTGATCCACATGACAGAGTTATTTTCCCTGTACAGTGGTGCCTCGCATAGCGAGGTTAATCCGTTCCGGATTAACCTTCGCTATAGCGAAACATCGCTGAACGGGGCAGGGAAAGCCATTGGAACGCATTAAACATCGTTTAATGCGTTCCAAAAGGCTCCTCTACTCACCGTTCAGCGAGGTTTCCTATGGCCGGCAGCCATTTCCGCGCCCTCGTTAAGCGAGGGGAGGGCGCGAAAATGCTGTGCGCGGCCATTTTGAGGCTTCCGGCGGCCATTTTGTCCACCAAACAGCTGATCGTCGGAG